TGCCATCATTCATTTCTTCATCACGCGCCAAGTCAAGCCAAGCCACAGCCAAGCCAAGCTACAGCCAGGCCAAGCCAAGGCCAATCACACGTAAAGATGGTTGCATATGAAAGTACTGTGTATCCATTAGTTAACATATAGTGGTCTTATCAAATTAAGATTAACAAAAATATTTACTCTGTAATAATTCGAAACAATATTTTTAACAGATTCATTGGTACAATAGTACAATGTATATATAAAATCAACGGGTCGCAGGTCAACATTTTTCTATTAAATTTATAATTTTTCTCAAAACATGTTAGTAATCTGAATATCAAGAACCAAGCTGGTTGAGAGCGCGTATTGTTTAGGTGTTATATAAGTGAACTCCAAACTTGTCTGTCCTTCTCTATCATAAAAGATATTATTTGTGAGAGACGATGTCTTTTTGACCAATACAAACTTCATGTCTATGTCCTATATACAATTGTATATGAGGCCGCTGGAGTCAGAGTAGCCTAACTTTTATGACTTGACTTATTTACAAATATGTATATTTTAATAGTCAAAAAAATACGAATCTACAAGAGGACAGTTACCGAAAATCCTTAACATAATTCATTCACAAATAATAGTACAGATTCATTTTCGCCTAATTTAATTGCGCATTTATATTTTCTTTCTTATTGAAAGTCATGTTTTTTGATATGATTCCACTCTGCCTTTATCAGCCTCATATATATCTATACTGTATGTCTACATATACTGCTCTCGTGAAATAAAAAGTATATGCTGTAATTAAAAGTAACTAGAGACGCAACGTCCAATGTAATGGGGTCTATCTGCAGGCTTCAGCGTGCGAAAGAGACAACTATATTGCATTTCTATTATGGTAAACATTATTATGGCAGACTATAGAAGGCCGTAGCCTAAAAATAAAGATCGTCGAGTAAGCGGTGTAATTATGACCAGAATCCCACGTCGGATTGGTGGTGCGGTCTCGCTTTTTTGTCGCCCGTCAATTATATAAATTGTTTGTGCAATAAATTTCTCTGTATCTGCGGGATGGTGGAATGCCTGCGCCCAGTATGCACCGATGTTGGGGTCCAATTAGTTTGGCATCGATACGCTGTCCACACTACCCTATCTAATCTGGATTTAATGAATACGAAGACGTTTGAGCCCCTAGATAGTGGCGTTTGCTAATTCGACGCTCGAGATATTTATAGTAAGAATAAGTAAAATTAAGTATATATGTTTCATTTACCCGTACTATTCCAGGTACATACATATAGACCCTTTTTTTATATTACTGGGTGGCCTGGCGAAGGTTCTTTTGCATTTTGAAATTTTAATAGCATTAAAACGGTTCTTGCGTGTTTATCTTAAAAAATAGATACGGTGGACATTTTTAGATCAATAAATTGTGTAAGGCTTTCACGGCCATCGTTCAGCATATCATTGTTTTTCTTGCTGTTCGGGCGGCGCAAGCGAGAAGTTTCTCGACGTTTCGCCATCGCGAGCGGACGACATCATCAGAAGATATTAGCTCCGCGTTTGCTCGAAGAAATCAAGTTTTTTTTGGGCCTTTAAAGAGAAATTCTTACATATATATTTCTTGAAACTATCCAAAATATTTTTTCGTTTCTGCTACATCTGCTCTGTATCCTCCCTCCTATTGGCCCGATATTTACTTTAAAGTCTTCCTCGATAAATACACTAACACAAAAATATTTTTTTCAACTTTAACCAGCAGTTTCTGATTAGCGCATTCAAACAAACAAACTCTTCAGCTTTATATAGTAGTATAGATAAATAAATGAAACCTTGCAAGTAAATGTGACTCGGCTTAAATACTGTCTATTGTTTACGCGAGCAGTACAATCACTTTCAAATAAGTTTAACTAATATATCGCACTTTAAACCGTTAAAGTGTTTTATTTAAATGTGACTCGGCTTAGATATATATTTTCATTAGATATATATATTTTTATTTATATATATATATTTAATGTACACTTTTGGCCTAAAATATTTTTAATCTACACATGAATGCGTTGATGGCGTATATTAAAATTGTAACTGTACTCAAAAATGTCGATCGCTCAATAAACTCTTTGATTACCTTAAAATTGTGATATAGTAAAGATTGGTCGTAAAATTGATTACCTATAGATATTAAGAATAGGACCGTTCGTTAAGCGTCGATCAAGTTTAATGGTAGGAATATTCATAAAATTTTATGTTTTATGTATCCACAGAATTGTTTTCATATTTTTGCTTAAAAAAATAATGTATAGATTTATAGTATTTTATCCTATAATAATACAGGATAACTTGGGTATATAACCCAAAAATTATATATAACACAACATTTCCAAGAAAATAAGTACGACTATATAGGTATACATAATGTGTCCAATTATAATGACATTCTAATATATATAATGAAAGAGAATGTGAAAAATTATTATATCTATATATAGAATAGACTTCTTCTAAAATAAAATATTGTTTTTACCTTTGGGGTTCACAAACGTTGGTACACTCTTTGAAACTGAAAAAACGCTTATTATATTATTTACTGTTTTCAGCCGATTTAAAAAGTAGTATTATTTTTTAATAATTATAAAAGTATATTGTACAGGTTAATATTGAATATTTAAAAACGCATCTAAACTTTTATTATGCACTTAAAGATAAATAAGACCGTGTAATTTTAAATGAACCACTTTCAACGATTTAAAACGGGAAATCTATTAATCAGCCACAGCCTTGGCAATTTGAAATAGCCGTGATCCCCCCGAGACCACAGCTGTTGCAAGGTATCCGAAACGTCAGACCGCAGTTTTATAAATTTTTAAATATTTGGCCTTTTAAGCCGTTGAAAGCGTTCTATTTAAATGTACACTACTCGCATAATCTACAGCAACTAACAAAATATGATTTAAGAGTAAATCTTTCATTGAATCGTAAATAAATCTTGTAGAAACGTCCTTATTCCGAAATATTATAATGACAACTAAATATTCATTCGTTGTTCGGAACGATTTCCACATTATTCATACCTGAATATTCATTTAACGTGAGATGACCCATCATTAATTGTTATGGCCACGTATGTACTGCTATCGAGAATTGCAAACAAGATCGCGGTTAGTCACGGCCATTATACAGTCGTGAAGAAAAGCGACTCGATCCGTAATAGTTTTTTCGAAGTTAATTTGTATGAAAATCTCGATGCGGACTTTAATGATTGTAAATTGGAAGCTTTCGTTAATTTAGCGTTTCGTTAAATAAAAAGTGAGTTTTAATGAATGGGAATGGCAAAGCTCTATTTTGCATTATTAATATATGGTCGCGGTTCGATTCCCAATCAAGCACGAAAATCTTTAAGTGGTTGTTTGTTCAAGGCGTGCTACTTTGTCATGACAATCAACAAGGGAACTGGTCTTAGAATTAACGCCGATTGTGAGGTTAATCATATTAATTTGGACCCTACTGTAACTTTTGTACATAGAACTGTGGATATCGAAATTTATTTCGCCAGCAAATTAGACGAAACAGGTCATCGATTAAAATGACATCCAAACCGTAATCAATTTCTGAGTGAAACTGGACCTTAAATTTGTCTGTAAATTATGTTTTATGAATTCCTCTTCAATGTTCCGCGCTCACTTTGTAAAAGCGGGATTCGCACTCTATCGTTCAAACTTAAACCATTTAGTTCACAATACACCTACAGTATAACAAAATGAACTTAGTATTACCTCCAAAACTATATATAATATGCTTAGATACAAAAAAAAGAGGAAGAAAAAAAATTAGAAAAGTTCTTGTGAAATGGAAGAAAGCCCTCGGGATGTGCATCATCACCTAAGAGTAGCAGCGCCGGTTCTCAATGCAGAATCCAAATGAAATAACATATTATAATAACAAATAAAATTGACGTATAAAAAGGACTTTAACACTTTAACGCAGTGACGGGGGGTGACAGTAAATTGTAATTTGAAACAAATAAATGCTTCAAACCGATGCCGATGCACCCTTTAGTGTATCTACCCTTGGTCTAGCCAAAATGTCCAGTTAGCCATCCTACGGGCAAACGCGTAATACATCCAAAAGAAAAAGGTCCTCTCCCGTCTCTCTCCTCACCCGTCTTTCCGATTCGCACTTGGCCGTTTTTGAATAAGTTTAAATGGACACAGATTGTGTAGCGTATCTAACAAACCGTGGATAGTACAGATTTAATGGACCGACCTATTCGTAAGGCCCATCTTTGTTTATGACAACGACCGTGTGAATATTGATTTTTGGGTCAATAGCTTCGCGTTATAATATATTTTATGCTAGCATTTTGTTAGGACCGTGCCTAATTCACAAATAACACTAAACCTAGTGACAATCGTTGTGCAAAATTAACGATCGCGCTAAGAATTTAACTGTTGATAATAAAATAATATTATCAAACTTTAATACACAAGGATAAAACATATCTATATTGCCTAGCATTGCGTTAAGCGCGAATCCTGGATTCGAATCCAGGGGAAAAATCAATAGTTTCGACCAGAGTACAGAAGTCTGATCAACTATGTGCCTGTAAATAAAATCGATCGGTGAAATGGATACAGAAGCCAAAATAGACCAACAGTAGACAATTATTTGTCTATGTCCACGTCTACGTTTGTATATTATGTCTACCTTTACCATAAAAATACTTTCCGGGACGACTTACTGAAAATTGTATTGGTTTTCTAACTCGTATATTGGATGAGGCCTTTTGTATATAGTAATATTAATGATAAAAACATCACTTCATGAGATTTGTTATTTTCTGTAAATGTAACTGTAGTATGTAAATGTAAGGAGACCGGTGACCACGGCTGCTGCAAAGCATCCGAAACGTCAGGCCGTGGTTAAAATAATTTTCAAACACGTCTTACTAATAAATATCGCTTAAACCGTTATTTAAGTTGTAAATATATAAATAAACGTTTCAAATATGTAATATATTACAGATACAAGGGAAACTGGGTTTGTGAATGCCATCACAGCGGCGGGTGTTACGTACGCCATCACGCGTGCTTGCACCGCAGGCTCGCTGCTCGAATGCTCGTGTGAAAAGGTAATTGACCATTTAGTAATGCTGAAACGAAAACGAAAACAGGTTTAACGGTTTTAAACGCGAAATATATAAGATAATAAGTTTTTAATTTCATCTCCTTGTCAAATGTCTTTTAACGTATGATTTAGCTATATTTTTCCGTGTATACTTTTTATGTATCGGATAACTGCCACAAAGTTTCTTTTTCGAATGCCTTAGAATGCACCATAAAATAAAATAAAAACCAAATTAATTATCAAAAAAAAGACGGAAGGAATACATATCCTTCTACCTCTGTTTACAAAGACGTCTTTATAATGGTAATTAATTACAACGAGTACCTAAGGGGTAAACTTCCTGTTTGACGCTAAAATTGCGAAATCCTTATGTAAACTCAGTACTAAGTATCAACCATAAAAATGTATCTTTTAAACAGGAGGTGCCAAAGCCGCGTCGTGGCCGCGTAGCGAACATTCCCCTCCCACCTGCGCCCGCGCAGACCGACAGGTGGCAATGGGGAGGCTGCAGCGATAACGTACGCTTCGGCCTGCAGAAGTCCAGAGAATTCATGGACAGTCGATATAGGAAAAAGAGTGACATCAAAACTCTGATCAAGCTTCATAATCACAACGCTGGGAGGTTGGTTAGTAAGAATTTAAAAAACATTTTTTAAAATTACAACTCTATCTCTTTCTCTCATCCTTTTATTGTTTAAATATTATCTATAATATTTTGTCCTTTAGGCAATTAAGTCAAACATGAGGGTAGAATGCAAATGTCACGGCCTGTCAGGATCCTGTACGCTGAGGACCTGCTGGTGGAGAATGCCGACTTTCAGAGAAGTTGGCGAACGACTAAGAGATAAATTCGAAGGTGCTGCTAAGGTAAACTAAAGAGAAATTAGTTTTACACAATACATATCTTTTTATTAAAGTAATTCAGCTAAAGTAACTTTGTTTTAAAGTTAATTTGTAGATCGAAACAAATTTATGTACGTATCTGTCTCAACAGGTAATAGCCAGCAATGATGGAGACAGCATCATGCCAGAAAGCTCGAATATAAAACGACCTGGTAAAAAGGATATCATTTATTCAGAAGAGTCACCGGACTTTTGCTTACCAAATCTGAAGACTGGATCTCTCGGAACGCAGGGACGACAGTGTAATGTTAGTTCAGCGGGAACAGATAGTTGTGATCAGCTGTGTTGTAGACGAGGGTATATTCAGAGCACAGTGAGAGAGACTGAGAACTGTAATTGTCAATTCAAGTGGTGTTGCGAAGTTATATGTGAAACGTGTTACGTTAAACGTGATATACAAACGTGCTTATAATGTGATAGATATATTTAATAAAATGTAATAAATAAATATTTTAACGTGTACAGTTTTTAATTTATCTCTAAAATAATACTATGTTTTCTCTTCAGTTGCAAAGTCAGATAGATCTAGTAATTTTTGGCCTTTCGATCCCATTGACAACTTTGACTTGTTTCGTTCTCCCTTCTTGCTTACATTTACTTTACCATCTCTTTCTTCAGCTTTATGGATGGTTTCTTCAGTTATAACGTCTGTGTTTACCTTTTCTAACTCATCATTGTTCTCTTTTTGAATTTCTTCTTCTGGAATAACATCTGTTTTTATATCTAAATTTTCATCGATAGGTTCATCATTCTTTTCTTCTTTGTGTTCCTGTATATTTGACGCGTTCTCGTCTACCAAATCTTGTGTTGCTTCTTCTGGCACATCATCTGGCAATCCAAGATATTTGTTAGGTTTATTTCTGGGTTTACGTTGTCCTTTCGTTTGATGTTTATATTTATCAAAGTTTGAGCCCGGTGAAAACAATTTTTTACATTCTGGGAGGCCAATGACTGTATTTTCTTTTGCAATATAGCTGTATAGCATTTTAATTTTCTTAACATCAATAGAACTTAAACATTTGCCATGACCGAGTTCTGAAGTGAACGCATCCGTCTACAAACAAAAAATAACTATGTTAAGGTAAGGCCCTGTAGCAATAAAATGATAGATATCCTTATTTTTGTTGTAACCTTAGGTATTATAGTTGCTTTTCCATTACTTGTATACTTATGAGTTCCATAGTGACCGGCGCTTTTATAATCGTATTCTAGATCGTGAAATAACCATTCGTCATTATTAAGCAAAGTAAACTTATCCCGATATTCTGAAAGGGAAGAAACCATTTATAATAAATCTTCTTTAAAAATATTGAAGTGAATTAAATTTGTTTTTCTGTTAACGTTACCTCGCATTACGTTATCTTTTTTTATTTCAATAAAATCATCACGGTTGGGGGCATTGTGTTGTGGTGGTACACCAAGTAATAATAGAATAACTTCAGATAAACCATTTTCAGTATTTATACAGTCATAGCCTAGAATTACTTTCTGAAAATAAGCACACGAAGAATTTAAAAATATTATTTTTTATATAGTACCAAACACACAATCAATATTATTCACCTGTACACCTTCATTACTAAAGCTATCAAAAGAGTGATCGGCACATCCCAATAAAGCTTTTCGATTAATGAAGAAAACCCATCGGCTGTCATCTTTTGGTGGGCTTGCCAGTTCCAGAAACCGAATACCTGTCACGAGGTTCGTATGCTCCAGGAAAGCACGAATCGTATCTCTTAGTACTTTATCTATACGAATAAAAAGTATCATAATGAAGAATATGTACGCGTGTATTCAAGATGTTATACCTAAAGGTGTCCTGGGTTCGAACTTTTCATTCAAGTTATTAAGCTAGTATATGCTACAATGTGCTGAAGCCTAAATTTTAAATACTATTTGGAATCCAACTCGTATTGATATACAAGTTTTTAGAATTGGTACAGAAATTGTGTTTGTTAGGCAATAAAACTTTTAAAGTTGAAACTAAAATTTACAGGTTATAATTCAGTATTACCAAAATCTAATATATTTGAATAATAATTCTCGTTCTTTATATTTAAGAATACCACAGTACCGAAAGAATAATCATCAATATAATATGGTATAATTCCGTTAGACCAAATGTGGAATTTTTTTATTTCATTTTCTTCCAGAGCAAAACCAGGTTCGCTTTCCTTGTTGTTTGGAGCGTTTTCTATTCTTTCCATATTATGGTCGTTTTCGTCTAATTCTTGTCTCCGTAGATGACTTATTAATGTTATTGCTGCATTTACTTTTACGTCTAAAAGACCATATTTAGTAAAATTATTTAATTTTCATGCTTCATCTATAATTAATGAAATAAACAAAATTTCTGACTTGAATTAAATTCAAATGCTTGAAAGTCCCAGAAATCCTAAACAAATTATGAAATCTAATAATAGATATTGAAAAAAAAACAATATTTCTTTATTTTTAATTGGGAAAGTAAAAATTAAGGAGTTTTCATAACTCTTATTACATATTTCTTTTTAAAGATGAATAGTTACTTCACATTGCGTGGCTCTATGGTTAACTACGAGGCTTAGTACTCTGATAATCACGAGATACTAGGTTCAAATCCACGTGAAAACCTACAAAACTCAGGACATGCCCCAAATGGGAAAAACATAAAACTTTTATATCATTTTTAAAAGTATAAATTTTTCCATGTGCCAATTATTCTCAATCTTTTTGTTCACAAAAGCAGAAAGTGCAGTTACGAAGATTATTCCTCGTAATACGTATATATTGATAAACAGTGAATACGTTAATAACAAGTAATACAAATTTAAACTTACCATTTACATATATCAAGCAAAGAGACAAAGTAAACAGGCATCTTGTAAAGAATCCTCGACGCATATTCTAACGAAATTTCACATACATTTCAAAACGTTCGCAACACTTTATTGCCCAAGTTTATTGTCAAATAAATTCATAAACACGTATCGGAGTTGCGTTTTAATGCAAAAACGAAATAAACATGAAATTTATGTTGTTGTAAAAACGTATGCTTTTTCGACAAGAATTACCTATTATTTCAATTTTGTTCAAAACATAAGAATTACGCTCTCGCAATAACTAAATTCGTACTTTATACACAAACTTTTTTAAAACTGTTTTAAACCGTTAACAGCGTTTTACTTTTTTACGAAGCTGTTAGAGTATTACAAAATAATACTATTTACTTCACTTATATTATATTTTTCTTTTTGCAGTATTTTTGTTATTTTTAACGGTTTAAAACACAAAATATATCAATTAGTCCGTCAGCCCGACGTTTCGGATGATTTGTAGCAACGGGGCTCACGGGGGGCCTAAAGATGGAGGGTCTCTCTAATATACGTCAAATCTGCTACGCCAGCGCCATCTTTTTCTTTCCTTGTATCTTAAATATATTATAATTTTACTTTTTTTAATTCCCAAATTGTACTACTGTTGCTTTAAACATATGTCATAGAATTAAATGATTTGATAGCGAGTATTATTCCTGATTGTAAAATTTAAAAATCGAAAAAAAAAAATGAAAAAAATTTCGACTCCGGCAGGACTTGAACCGGCATCGTCAGCATTCCCTGGTGTTGTTGCTCAATCATGTAAATCATTGTTTATAGTAGACATAGCTACGTTATATTGTCTTAAAAATAACTCTATTTCGGTTCTGTTATATGTAATACACGGTGCGAAGGCGAACTTGAAGAAGTTGGATTCGTGTTAGTCTGACGAGGAAGCTTACTTATTAAAATAAAACAGTTTAAAACGAGTATATTAATAAAAACTATTTACACTACGGCTCGACGTATCGGATGCTTTGCAGTCGTGGTCACAGAAGTTGCTCTATTTAGGTGTTTTATTTTAATGTGTACTATCCGCGTAAACTACAGACAGAAAGTATACATAAGCTTAGATACCTATATGGATTTTTATATTATACTATCTCTAACAGCCTCCTCCTTTTTTAAGTCGGTTGACGGTCCAATCGCAGTGTTTATAACAATTGTTCACTACAGTACTATGCAAAAACTTTAGCGCAACCGCAAATCCTTTTGCTTGAAAAATTATTCACGCTATTTCAGATACGGGCACGCCATTCGTATCTCTTATGACAGATTTCTTAGTTCATATACATAAATTTTCCTTTGAGCTCAATACTCGTGGGAACACGCTTGAGGCTCTGTCGACCACCAACACAGGCCGACTTTTCACTTTCGAGAAGAACCGACGAATAAATATCAACCTTATTTGGTTACACTAAAACTTATTATCGTTTGACAAGATTAGAGAGTATAAAATAAAGCGGTTTCAGAAAATCGTTCGATATCAAAACGTAGATAATATGTTATATATTGAATTGCATTTACGAGTTTATATAATCGATATCACGTCTTTTTTTACTAATTTAACGGTTTAAAACTTGAAATATCAGTTATGTAAACAATAAGCAGATATTTCGCATGCTTTACTGCAGCTGTGATCACGGAGGATCACGGCTACGATTATACTCAACTAAAATATTTCACATTTTAAACCGTTAAAAGCGATTTATTTCGATGTGTATTACTCGCGTAAACTACAGGCAATACATAGGTATCACGTAATTTTACACCTAAAGTGTTGTGGGTCATTTAATAATACTAGATATTCTACAAAAAATAGTAGATAAATATTATTCCAAGTATTTATTAGTAGACTAACTGACAGTATATTATTTTATAAAAAAGATTATCATTGTTATGATTTTCCTAAAATTTGTTAGATTCGGTCCGTATATCAAATTCTCAAATACACAGCTACATGTTAAAGTAGGTATTATTTTATAAGCTATACGCAAACATAACCTTCCATCGTTAATAGCAGTCAGAACAAGAATATTACTCATACATATATAATATATCTATATGTAACATTCGCTTATGATCTTGTTCTGCGCCGTGTTCATTTCACGACGATAATATGTCATCTGTATTGTATATTGCACATCCATATTAACATATAATATGATAAAAGCTTATATTTTAATGTTGTTTTGTGTTTAATTTTATAAGCAAACAAAACTAAGAACTCATTTTTAGCAATCGCTTTACCCACCTTAGCTTAATGGTTGCACGATATACCTAAAGCGCTCTGGGTTTGAATTCCGGGAAACAATAATAAGAAAGAAAAGGAGCAGCACGGAATGCTGTGGATTCAAGTCCCGCCCATATCTGTTTTTTTATCTATATAGATTTTAAATTTATATATTACCATAGTAGGAATTTTTTTGTAAGGTGTTCTATTAATAGTAATTTTCAAACACAAAACATAATTAGTTGGTTTTAAACTATCTATATAAGTTTTAGTAAGTGTTTCAAGGTATAATATAAGAGAACTTAGTGCATAGTATGTTACGTATAAGTATATGTTATTAAGATAATAACAAATATTGTATTGTAGTTACGTTCTATAAATATAATTTTAGTGTTATCGTTCTCTCTTTCTAATCTAGGAAAAATGGGTGCACAAATAAAATACCATATATTTCATCAATTTTCTATTTTTAGTAACAACTAATCAATATTTTTAATCATAAATAGATAATTATTTACACGTGACGAATAATTAAGCGTTTTCCCACAACGGTCACTGGACGATATAATTTCATTAAATCACTATACATTAGGACTTGAGATTCAGTTAAGTTCAGCTGATTATTGCATAACTAATATTAACAATAAAAATGCTATTGACATAAATAACTTAATAAAATACGGATAGAATTATTTACATGCGTTTAAATTTACAATTCGTATCGCGGACGTTGACGGCAGTCAGTAGTAAGAGTGATTCGAAATTCAAAAGTATTTTAAAAACATCCGTTCGAAACTTGAATTTGAAAGCCCAATACGTGATAATCAGTCTTAGTAAAAGGTTTTTAAAATCGAAATTTTGATTATTTACAAATTACACTACGCAATAGTGTAGCCGCGTTTAAAACCCTAAACAACATAAAATAAATACCTTAATGTAAAACTAGATTTCAGTTCCTACAACACCCTAGCAATACTCGTAGTTATTTTATATCACATACGAAAATATCATTCACGTTGATACAGTTAAATAAAGCTTCGTTTTTAGCAAACTGTTGATCGGACGTCAGCGTTATCGAGAGAAACCTGTTTAGCACTTGTACTATTAAATATGTCATAAATTAGTAGTATTTTATCGGAGGTAGTCAGTAGGAGAGTTAAAAGCCTCGCGTTTCCTCATCAACAGTTTGCACTCCAGATTTCTGACGAGCCGAACACTTAATCGGCCGTCGAACGTTTTGATCACTCAATCAAAATGCGGACCAATCGCGCGCCGCTAGACAGATCGGCAAACTCGTCGATCGACCGATCAGAAATCCCAAGTTGCTAATTAAAATACTACAAGCGGTTTGTACATGCTTCAATAAATAATGAACAGCATAACCTAACTGTTAAAAATCTATAACTGTCGTGTGACTTAACGTGCATCTTTATCTCGGGACGTTGCACGCACACAATATTATACGTATAATACTGATTATTTAATTCTTTTAATATTTAATTAAAATTCTCGAGAGCGTTTATCTCGTAATGTGGGACACTTTTACGATGGTGCTACTTATTCACTGATAAGGACAGCGTGCCTCGGCAAGTGGTCACGCGAGAAGGCACTTAACGCAAACGCGATTGAGTCAAAATTACATTGGCAGAATTAAAATTATTATTAAAATTATAATTACAAGATAATTTCGCTCCCGAGACTCACGAAGTTAACGCAACCGTAAACCCGACACTATAGTCTACAAAATCAAGATTAAATAGGAATTGGTATATGTTATACTTAAGTATAACATAATTGCATTATAAATAATTATTGTAACTTTCAAACGATATTAGGGAATACCATTTAAAGTAGTCTTAACATTTGAATATAATTAATTTAAACAAGTACATTATCGAACATAAATAATAAATTACGTCAACCGCGTCACGAAGTTAATAAGTCCAGTCCGTTCGTTTTAAACAGATGACAAAATCGGAAAGATATAAATCGTCCTAAACTGGTCTCATTAGCCTCTAAACGACAGTGTAAAGATACTAGATCACATATTCGCGTTTAATAGTCGTATAAATTACTCGAACGAGCAACAGCTTATTTTAATTTCACGCCGGATAATCTTATTCCGTTGGAATAGAGTAGTGTATTTACATACGTCAAAACGACAGTCAGTAACGAGTGAACCGAACCACTGGACACTAAGTGTTCCTTCATTCACACGAGGCACGTAATTAACGCGCCTATAAGCACGTGTGAACCACTTTTTCCGTGCGACACAATTTGCATTTAACTTCACAGCACCAATGGAATGTACAATTGCATCTCTCTACCACGAACATGGTCTCAGTCCGGTAGCCGCGGCCGCAACACATGAGGTCGCAACCGTCTACGCCTATACTCGTGTCGTTGCAGGTCCGCCCGTGCGTGCCGGGGATCCCCAGCCGCGGGTTCTTTTCGCAGAAGCCCGGAGAAGATTCCAAGTATACGAGGTCCTTTGCGCCCGGCGACTTGTGGTCGGGGTTGTGTGGCCGCAGTTGGAACCTGTAGCGGTCCCTGCGTGGTACCCTGTGGGGTGCCGCGTCGTTCCTCTGCACCGGCGCTTCCAGGTCCGTGTTTGACATCATCACCCTCGATGCCCCGTCGAAGCGATCTTTTAGCGCGTCGCCGACAGAGCGGAAGCTCGGCAGCCTCATCCAGCACGTCTTCACCGTGCACGACCCCGACATCCCGTGGCATTTGCACTCCTGCCGCATCTCCGTTTGCACGTGCTGCAGACAAACAGTCGTGTAAATGTCATAATACCGATGAAAAAGACGATTATTAATGTTCAAATACCATCAATTCATTCGATAAGCGGCGCGGGTGATCGATGATCTTAAAAGCTCACTTCATCGATCGAATCATGCGATCGAGCAAATTGTTACAAATCGAATGGAGGTGGGCCGATCGTCACAACGCGTGGACAGATCATAAATCATGTTCTAGGGACATTCATCATTCGTAGAATGTAGATAAATGACGCGGGAGTGGAGACAGTGGAGTAAATATTTTTCTATCGCATAGCGCACGCTCAACATTGGTTCCTTTGTTTCTTTCACATGTAGATATAAGACTTGCGCGACATATAAGTGTTAAACGCCAGACGGAATGCGGTGAATATTCATCAGCTGGACACCCAGCTCGGCCGTCGTGACGGGAATGAGGTGTTCTCATTAATTACTCGTTTGGGTGGCTCGAGGCGTCCATTCCTTTTTGATGGATTTAGGCAGGAATGAATTGTGGGTATGCAAATGTAGATGTGAGGTGGGAAGGGGGAGGCACGACGAATGAGCGAGTTGCGCAGTCGCCGGGCGATGGGCTGAACCGTCTCACACAATTACGTTCATATGACACTTCAAGTGTTAACAAGTGGCTGTCATCTACTTGAAGACTATTTATATAAAAGAATTACTCACCATTCTACCGGCTTCGTTGTTGTGTAGGTTCATTTTCTCTCTCAGAGTCTTGCCTCTCTCTCCTGTGTCAACGAATTCCCTGCTGAACTTGAAGCCAAATCCAATGTTATCGCTGCATCCCCCCCACTTCCAAACTCGAACATTTGCAGCCGCTGCGGCCCTGGAGCGGTGTGGTGCACGATCGACATGGGAATAATCGCACGTGCACGATTCTATGGAACCCTCTGCGCAAGCGCGGGAGACTGCATGAGTGACGCCCGCGCTGGTTATCGCGTATATGAAGGCAGTTTCTCGGCAACCTGAGAAAGACATTTCAGATTATTATCTAAAAATAAAAATGAAGGTGTATGAATCTAACAAAAATTATCACTCAAAAATATCGTTTAAGTCACTAGAAAACAAAAATTATACATCGTCAGTATTGCACAATTACAAGAACATTAAAACGATTAGCCAACCATTAAACATAAAAACAAAAGTTTGAGATGTTGTTTGTCATAGACAAAGTTAATATTAGTTTGAGATACGACTAGCGTTTTAATGTTTCACACATTACTAAAACCTTAAATGCTGAACGGATCACACACGAAGCAAATTTAATCTATTCTATTATAATAAACATTGTAAATATTAATCTATAATTAAAACTCCTTTAAATGAGATTTATATGCGATAAATATTTAAATGTAAAATGTCACTCATAATGTTATTCCAAACGTCATTAATTTTATTATGCCATTACAATTAGCGTGCATTGTCATAAACCCATAAATTATTAAGACAGCTCTTAGACTCTCGAAAACCTGGTAAGGCAGGTAGCAAATCTCAGATATTTTAATAACATAACATAGACACGTTTGGTATTCATATAATTAATTCATCGCAACGGTTCAGGGTCCCATATTTTAATCAAACTTTATTGCTCGAGGTGAAGGAACAAAAAACTCAAATTAATATGTTTGATATTAAAAATAACGAAAATATTTGGGTGCGCAATCAAATGCAGTGGGTAGAGCATCGGACCCCAACGATCCGTGCAACACAAATAAATATACAGAAATAAGCGACAATAATTCCATTTACAATAAAACCCAGTCATGATCTACCAGATAAAACTAATTAGGACGTTACAACGCAATCCGAGGAACATTCATCAAATAAATCGATATTCCGATATCGAATACTATAAATAATTAATGGCTCAGCATTAGAATCAAATACTCATAAAATACAATTAAAGAAAGAGTATCGATGAAAAATAAAAGACGGCCCAACCTACCCGGACGATTATAAACTCGACCATTACATGTTGGTATTGACGCGTATCGAATCGATACCCGAACTTACAGTCCGAGTACTTAATCGATTAATACAGATACAAAACGTTTTAATCGAATCGTTTATAAGCGAACGCTTATTGAATTGTACGACATGACATTTGCATAAATTATTCCAATGTGTCATTAGGAACTAAAAATAATCAAATTAGAAAAAAGCTTTTGTTTTCATTATTGTTAATATATTCAAATTGTTGAATTCAGTAAAAAAAATGATTTTGTTTTCATTGCTAATGTTTGCCAGTTTGTTATTGTTTCATTATGTTTATTTTAAAACTAAAGACTAATAATGAGCTACAATTTATAGCAATATCTTTATGTTAATTTAATATACCTTTAGTAGGTAGGTAGTTGGATACTTTATATGTATCTCATGCAACAATTAGTGATTACTACATGTGGGGTCCTGTCATTGTACCCTGCAAATTATCATATGTAAAAATTATAAGCCTATGCTAATGTACTCTCGAATCAACTATATCAGCGATTCCGATGCTAAATTGATAACTGCCCTGGTGGGCTTCTAAAGATACATAAACACTGCTATAAGAGTGCGGGTATGTATAATATTATGTGGATTCGTTATTAAGGACTCAATAAGCAAATGAAATCATTTTTTTATTGAGTTGTCATCGTACAAGGATATAAATTACACGGCCTGAACGCCGAATGCTTTGTACTCCTTTTTGCTTGCGGGACGTTGCAGAAAAGTATTTTATTTAGCAATTACTTGGGGGTTTCGCTGTTGGAATTTTAATGTAGGGTTTTCATCAATCGAACTATTGATACGTTGTTCTGAATAATTTAATTCAGCCGTCTTAAATCCATTAATGTTCCTATGTTAGAATGGACTGTTATAGTCATCCCACCACGCTCACAGTGTAGATTTTGCGACTAACAGAATTACTGTTATAGTCATAACCGGAAATTAGTAGCGATAACCGGAAGCTACGGCTTAAGATGTAGGTATCCATTTCCAAACTTTTTGATTGGATTGATTTAGACATTTTTATAAACGACGCAAAATTAGAACCCGGGACTTCAAGTCCTAATAGAGCATAAGATTCAATTCTTAAATAAAGTAAACGATTTTTTTACATATACACAATCTGCATTGAATTGTTAATTTACTCAAAACGTACGGGCGTTGACTATAAGTGTAAGCGAGTCGTAAATACTAGTTCTAATAAATGCTAGTAATAAAAATGTATGTAAACTAGAAAAAAGTAATAGGTCAACTGGTCTAGTTCAGTCGAGAGCTTTCAATGTAATATTGCGAAATAGTAGCAATGTCAGTTACTATTTGCCGCCTTCGTCTCAATGACATGTGAGGTCCCGGGTTTGGTACCTGAGTAAATGTTTTATGTCCGTTAGCTCACGTCATCCTCAACAAGTATTTGCTGGTTAATAAATGTGCTCTTAGCACAGAGTAACTTAATAGCACTTACATCAGATAAATTACCATCTCCAGCTTCTTCTGTAAAATTTTTAATTCAATTATTAATAAATACTAGATTAGATTACGATAATAACCGAATCAAAAAGCGATAAACACGCGGATATACTAGATGAGTCAGTCTCGGCGGTCTGACGACGGGGTGTCGTGCCAGGTGGGCCATTCGGACCCATCTTCACGACAACACATCTGCGTCGTGTGTTCCCGCTGAGATTTTTATTCGCTACTCTTATCTGTCCGATGACATAACGGCACAAACCGGAATACGACTTGCTAGACACTGGCGTAGTAACCTTGTCACCTATTGTTACGTCTTCTAATGATCGACATTATAAAGGACAAGCATAAGTTTATTTCAATCTAGGTGAGTCTGGTAGTGGTATTTAGGGTTCTGGTCGTCAAGCGCCTGTTAGAGTTAATACCTCAAAGGTTATTCGGTAATTAGATAAAGGAAATCTTGACAGACTAACTCGTAAAATTTTGAGGTTTCAGAAATTTATAATTATTTTATAGCATAATGGCACTGTCAAATTTGAAATCTAAATTAGCCTCAAAAGTAAATTAAATAAACTAAACATCAATTATTAAAATATAAATAATTCATGACAAGAATCCACCGATATCTCAGGACAAAAGCCGATTGTCGCGTCGCGAATTAATCGCGACGTAGAAAAATTATGACAAATGTAAGGAGGCAGTGTCCGAGGCGACGCATTTGTCAAGGCTTTAAATAAAACTTGAAGCCACACTACAGACCTAATTAACTATCCAAACAGCGATAATCTGACGTCTTTAGTTATTAATACAGATAAAGAACGAGCATAGACTATAGACGCATGCTTTATTAAGACCAAGATACACCGAGACCCAGTCAAATAAGAACAGACGTGAGTAATGCGAATCTATAAAAGTAAATTATTATAACTGATAATAAAGTGCTGTCGGTTGATTATCTGCGCAGATAATAAATGGTCCCGAAGGCGGTTTACGGCGCGGTGTTGCGTCCCACAGATTGACAGTTAATGCGATCCATTCGGGATTTATAAATGTCAAAAAATCGTAAATCCACTAGCGTAAAATCCTTAATCACTGTTGACATCTTGAACACCTGGCCTAACAGAGCGGGAGTGAATAATACGAAATTAATGTACTAATTAAATATGCCCCATCATTGAGACATCACGAAGCCGTTTGAAAAGATTAATTTAAAAGATTGACTTATGACGGTTCGCGCGTCGCCTCACGCGTCCTTATTTATTGCGAGTGGCATTATTCAAATTTGATGAGCCGTAATTACTCAGAACGACCATAAATCACCGCGTTTTATAATGCGATGTTTTGCCGGTTTAGAAATCGCTAGCAGAAGGGCAATGAAGTCATTCGTTTGTGTCTTTTCTTTTACGAGCGCATTAAGCCACTATTTTATTGCACTATAAGCTACTATATTATTAGAAGTAAGTTGCTAGTAAGCGATCGCTTTTTAGAGTTAAGTCCTTTCATTAATTATCATAATTCTCGGTCTACTGTCTGATATTAGGGACACCCTCGATCTTCAGAAACTTCGTGAGTTAAATCGTAAATAAGTAGTTATACGTTTTCGTTGAAATGTTCTTTTTAAACTACTGTGTTATTATATCTCTTCTTAACTTCTACCTTCTCTATGCTGTACTATAAAAGAGCTAATGAAGACATTCGATATAATTACTACGGTTGTTGTTCCATTGATTACGTCTCTTTAAAACATAAAGACGTGCTTAAAATTTGAAAAGCGTGACCGTCCATTTTGAAGAACGTCTCGAATAGAGCAATAAAAGGCAATAACTCATATTCGTTCTGCCAGCGGAGGGTGATTATTTGGTGACAACGGCCCACCGGTGGCATTTCGACAATTCAAAACGCTCCTCGTAATATATCACTCTTTGTGAGTGACACAAAACACTGGACGCTACCACTCGCTACCAGCCACTGGCCATTCAAGCGGCGAACAAAGACATTTGTTTTCAAACTGTATAAAAACTACCGTAAATAATTTGATTTTTTTTAACGGATTAAAACGCGATATGTGTAAGTTAAACTTATTTGAAAATTATTTTTTATTACAGCCCGCTGTTTCTGATATTATGCAGCAGCCGTGGTCACGGGGAGACAAAATGATAATATTAAAAATAATATTTAAATTAAATATATATATATATATATAGAGTTTTAAACCGTTACAGTATTCTATTTAAATGTCTACCACTCGCGTAAACTACAGACAGTATTTAAAACAACTCGTAAGCGACATTTCGAAGTGTCCCCGAGATTTCGAATCAACCAGAATTAATCCGATCGTAATATCGAAAACAATAAACACAAAACCACAACGCTTATCTAATTGAGCATTAAATATTTCGTCGAGGGATTTTATATCCGTTTTATTTGTGCTTTTTCTCCGCCCACGGCGAGCGACGTCCGAAGCGACGCAAACCTTTGGAACGGGAAATATTTTATTGGCCGAGTTACC